AGAGAGAGAGAGAGAGAGAGAGAGAGAGAGAGAGAGAGAGAGAGAGAGAGAGAGAGAGAGAGTTGCCTCAGGTTATCCATTGCATCGGCGCTTGCATATGCTTCAACAAGTGTGCGGCCATTACCACCGTCGGATGGTCATATAACCCCTGTTTACTATGCATTGTGTTTTGAGTCACTAACCTTTCGGGCCCACGTGCGCCGGAGGAAATGGACCACCCCCATTCTGTGGGACCAAAGTCCAGCTCACGAGCAACAAACATAACAGGTGCTGTGGCAAAGAGTCTCATACCAGCACGGATGAGAAGCAATAGAGAATCTGCCACTTACCTCCCAGCCCAAGGTCCTTTCGCCCACTTGCCTTCAGCAATAACCGCCTTCAACTCCTCATAAGAAGAGACCTCGACGATGTTCCTGCACCATACCCATCAGTTAACAAAAAAGTAAAAAAAAAAAAAAAAAAGTTAACTTTGGGCGAACTTGTCCTTCGGGACATCCGTTAAAATTGGAACAATACAGAGAAGATTAGCATGGCCCCTGCGCAAGGATGACACACAAGTCCAGAAATGGTCCAAAAGAAAAAAAGAAAAAAAAAAAAAAAGGAAAAAAAAAAAAAAAACTTTGGGCGAACTCTTCTTAGTGCGAGGATCAAGGTCCTTGGTAGGCCTAAGGGGCCCTGTTTGCAGCATTGCCCGCCCTAAGTGAAGGCGGAGGTGCCCGCCCTAAGTGAAGGCGTGCCTGACATATCGCAAGAGGCCCCCTACTGTCAATTTCATATTTGGGGTCCAGGCAGTTGCGATGCGCCAGTTGGTTGAGAGAAACTCAGGCCGGGCCACAAAGACATTTCCACGGCCCTCYGGGCTTTTCCAAAGAATGCAGGCCCTGGGCGTGAATCGCAGCCTCATACAGAGACAGTTGGGCGCCCAACCAAACGAGGCCCAGCAGCCCAGTAGCTGCCGTACACAGGCAGCCTCCTGGGGCCTTCCGGAAGCTTCTGGGCCCAGGCCAGGGCAGCCAGGCAGGGCAAGCAGGCCAGCTCTTTCCATAAAGGAAAGAGCTCTCCGCTGAAGGGCATTCGGTCACTTGCTGGCTGGCAGCAGCGCTGCTGGAGCGATTGCTCGCGGGCTGGCTGCCGGCATTGGAGCAAGAGGCTGCGCACGTGCGGTCGTGTGTGGGAGCAGGGCGCTGCCCTCATAGCCAGCCTCCATAGCGGGCTCGGCTTGGATACACAGTGAGGCGCAGGGGTGGTCTTCGGGTGCATGAGAGGACAGGTGTGGGCGTCAAGTCAGGGAAGGGCAAAGGATGATGATGATGATGATGTGAGGGCACATACCTTGTATTGGCGATGGTCTGCATATGGGCAACATCTTCAAGTACTTCGGGTGGCCGCTGATGTCAACAGTTGCATTGCCTATGAGTAGGCTGATTGTAGCTGTGTAGGAGTAGGCTGGGCGCTGAGCGCCAAGTAGGAGTCTGAAGGGACTGGACTCTTGTGTTGCTGAAGGAGAGAGAAAGCTCTCCATGACATTGGTTTTCAGTACTACGAACCTCCATTGGTGTATTATTGGTGCAATGCTGCTCTCTGGACACAGTGTGACTATCTGGCTTTTTATGTGACGGTGTAATCTGGATTTGTCATCTCGCTGTTGCTTATTTTCCTTGCATTAGTGTTTTTCTGCACTTTTCAACAACAACAAGTTAACAACTAATATGAGATGTATGCATAGGGACGTTGGACCCAATTTCCAGCAGGCGCAGCTCCCCACCAACATAGATTGGAGCAACCCGAAAAAAGGCTGCTAGGCGGGGCAGCTCATATCGCCCCTCCTCCTAACAGCCGGACTGGCTTTATCCTTCAAAAAAAAAAAAAAAACTTTGGCCGAACTCTTCTTTTTCCGTTCTTTTTTTTCCTCCTTTTTCCTCGTACACTGACAAAGATAAATATAAATTAGGTATTCGACGTCGATGGTTCAATCCTCTTACACCATTGTCATAAACTACCTGGTGGTTAGATGATCGGTCAATTATTTCAATGTTGGCAAAGATTCTGTGATGGCGAAAAGGAGTCGTATGTACTGATGGTTTTGACAAAGATTCTGTGATGGCAATGTTGGAATTCCAATATTGAAGTGAAAATAATTTAAATAAACATAGTAACATACTACCCATTCAAAATTTGTTTGCATTGCATATGTATTGTCACAGAACTATTGACTAAGAGAGTAAGCACGCGTGAAGTAGAAGAAGAAATAAGATGAGCGAAGAAAAGAAAAATGAAAGGACAGACTGGCAAGGAGACAGACAAACCAGAATGACACAAAACAGTGTCCTCTTATTCTTTGTTTCACAGTATTATTATTTCTTTCAGTGTTTTATATATAGGACTTTGATTGTTCTTCATGACAATGTTGGTGCTACCAATTCCGGCTTGGCTGAGTCTGAAACCATAGCGTGTAAACACTAAAAAGTTGTAAATTGAAAAATTCATGTATGTTCTGAGTACGGACGCCGCCCGGCCGGGCGGGGCCGGTTGGGACGCCCGGGCGAACCGGGCGGGCAAAAAAAACAGCCCAGAATTTTTTATTTTTATTTTTTGAAAGCGTGTTCCTTCTGTGCTCGGCGAGAGGACCCCGAATCTGCAATAAAAAATCTGGTTTGGTTTGCTGCATGTGTGATACCAAGTACATACTGGGTTGGGGGCTCTGCGATGTCTGGCGGTGGCAGGGAGGGAGGTATGGCGGTCCAAGAAGAAGAAGAAGAAGATGGGCGGAAGAGGAGGAGGAGGAGAGAAGAGGAAGGAGAATAAGATGAGGGGGAGGCGGAGGAGGAGAGAAGAAGAAGAAGAAGAAGAAGAAGAAGAAGAAGAAGAAGAAGAAGAAGAAGAAGAAGAAGAAGAAGAGGGAGGCAAGGCGGTAGGGTATGGTGGCGAGAGGGCGGTAGGGTATGGTAGCGGCAGGGCGGTACGGTATGGCGGCGGCGGCGGCAGGGAGGGAGG